CCTTCCCCCGTTGGCATTCTCCCAACGATGATGTGGCAGATGACGCCCGCAGCTACACACATGATAACGAAGTGGAAATCAGGGTAGAGACTCCCCGGACCATCCAACTGAGAAGAAGCAACATTTTTGCCGAGGCAGTCCGAAATATTGACGCGGTTCAGTACTTCCCTTTCTAAGAGCCACTTTTGCCACCTTTTTAACCCGAACGATTGAACTTTGTAGGTTTTGTCCCTTGACACTAAATCAGGCAGCCTTCGAAAGGCGCTTTCTAGGCCCCCTAGACACTAAATCAGGCAGCCTTCGAAAGGCGCTTTCTAGGCTAACCAGGCTTCCAAATTTCACAGTTGTCGAAAGTCAAAGAATCAAAGAAGTTGAGGTCGTGGCGCATCCCAGAACAAAGTTCGCGCCATACATTGGCTTAGTACCGCACTTCAGGCAGCATTCAGACTTCGCGACGATTCGCTGTAACGCGCTGACGCGCGTCCGGGCGACGCAAATCGAATCCCGTCTGCGGCTGCGATCGCATCCATAGAAATGGAGCGCTGTAGCAAGTTATAGCGCGTTACACCGTGCTACAGCGCGTCATCGCAAAGTATGAACGCTGCCTTACTTTTCAGAATAGAAACTCTGGGGATTGACTTCATTGTTCATTATTCTGTATTTTAGGGTCATTTGCCGTCGTAGCACTAATGGCTGGTGTCGCCAACGACAAAATTTTGGTGTCACATGGAGGTGGAATAGGTGGATTTGATGCAAAATTCTTCGCATTTTGATGTTTCTATTCATTATGATGTCACACCAATACAGATCGCTACCACTCTTACCTTCGCCATTGGCATATGGCAGGTTAGTATTGCACCTGTGCTTGAAGGAAAGGTCCGCGATGGCCTGCAAACAGGGTACAGCATCGTTGTATGAAACAAATGAGGGTCGTACTTGGCCTCCGGGGAGGGAGGTCGTCTTATTTGGTCGTTGCTGGGAGAGGGGGGGGTGGGTCTATGTGCCTTTGAGAAAAAGTCGTCGCGTTGGGGAAAGACTTCCTCCCGGTTGTTGACATTTCGCGGTTTTCCCCGTTTCACATTGGCTACGTACCCCGACCCCCCCCCCCCCATCACATCTCACT